AAGCCGTGCCCCCCCATGCCTACCTGTACCCCTGCCAGCAATTGGGCTGGGGATGCAGCCAGTTTCCACTCCCCACTGGTACGGCCATGCCAGCAGGTCCCCACAGTGTAGACCACTCACTTCGGGTTGAGTTTGGTGTTTCTGTATCTGTAAATTTTAAATTAAATTTTTTAAGTCAGTCTGCAGCACCAAGTTTTACCAGAGTGCTGGCAGAGGAAGAAACCTTCCCAGGGATGGTGATCATGTACTGCTCCAGCTTGACTAAGTGAGGATGAAGGTGTGAGCCCAGCATTTTTGGGTCCCACCCACCGCTTTTGGATCCTGCTCCACATACCATGAAGTCCCAAGTAGTGTTTGAAAGTTGCACGTGGGAGAGGATGCTCAAGCTGACGAAGAAGGCTTGGAGGAGGGGAAGAAACCTACACTTCCATTGCCTTAATTGCAGATTTAAGAAGGATATTTAGTGTTTTCAGTGTAGATATTTTTGTATCTCGTTTGATAAACTGGAAGCTAGTAAAATGTTTCACAAATATCTCAGATGGATTTTTGAAAATAGATATTAAAATTAGTGTTTTATATGGATATGATGGGTTTATTTTGAATGTGAATAAGTATTTTTCAATCTAAGAATTCCTCTTTTTAATGACTTCAATAAAAATAACTTTTTAGCTAGTAGCTACCCTATTTTTTTCATAATTGTGCTGTTATGAGTCAGAAAAAGAGTTAATACAAGTTTCCATACATAGGAAGGAAGAGATATTCTGTGAGAACAGAAATACAAGCTGGAAACAATTTTACAATAAAAGCAACATATGCCTAATTCCTTGTGTAATATAGTTTGGTAGACCAAGTCACTCTTCTACACATAAAGGACTATCTGTAATTACAAAATTAAGAGCATGGAGTGATTAGAGGCTCTGAGCCACCAGTGCAGCTTAGCTGACTAACTGCAAACTCCGTCTTGACATTTTGGGACCAGTACGTTGCACCTGAAATCAGTGGCTCCTCTTGACCTTCATGAGGGCCACAAAATTTGGGGGCTGCAGCACTCCTGTCAGCAGTGCTTCCACCCTGGGCAGCCCAGGTTGCCACTTGCTGCATGTGCCTGGTCTTCATGGGATCATGCTGCTGACTTTGTGTCAGACCCAGCATACTCAAAATTGTCTATCTATGGCACCTGCATGGATGCTTCCTGAGTGCCTTGTAGACATGGCATCGATTAATGGGATCAGCAAGGAAGGGCCAGCAGCGTGTGAGAAGTACCAGGCAGCGGAAAAAAGCTCAGGGTCAGGGAAGACAGAGAAGTTCATATGGGCTGGTGGCTGAAGGACAGAACGAGGCAACAAGTTGGGGTGATTCAAAAGAGGGAACCAAAAAATCTGAGTGAAGGAAATTGTTCAGGAAAAGAGGTTGAAACACAGGGTGAGACATGAGAAGGCAAAAATGAAATGGGAAAAACGTGGGGAAGGAGACAAAGGGGAGACTAGGCAGGAGGCAGGGTGTACTACAGGATAAGTCTAGGGTAAGAGAAGCAGCTTCTGAAGCAAACATCGAAAAGGAGAGCAGGGAGAAGAAAGGAGTGGAAGGTGAGGGAGGCCAGAGAGGAGTTTAATAAATAATGTTTTTTCACATGTTTTACTCAAAGGGACCCTGGACACTAGCCCTTGGCTCCAGGGAGACATAGCCATGCCACATTCCTGGGTTGCCTGTCATTTAGATCTGGGCTTTATGTGTTCCTTAGGTGGTACTGGTATAAAGTTGGGGTTTGCCAGCAAATCTACACTGGCATCAGGAATAATCTGTGCTGGTCTGGAATAGCATGGCATGCTTTTGCTATGTAATAGATGGCCTCATTGAAAAGCTTTATGCACACATAGCTGAGCTGAGCTGCTCTGCTGTCATGTGTGGACAGCATCCATTTCACCAACTGATGTGCAAAGAGGTCAGTTTTCAAATGCAACCTAAAGGGCTATAATTTGCCCCTAGAAAATGGAGATTATTGTGACATTATATCTTATTATCTGCTCTTTTTCCTCCCTGGTATATAATGCAGATAGTTCTTCTCCCTGGTACTACACTACAGCTGGTGCCTCTAACACAGCAAAATGCCAGTGCAGGCAAAAAAAAGCAGTGCCGAAAAAGAAGGGGCAGTGGGAGGGATGAACGTGGGGCAACAGGTGATTTGGGAAGCTCTGGGAAACTGCAGAAGCACTGAGCTATGTGCTATGTTCTGCAACTGAGCTCCAGAGGAAAGGAGGATACTTGACAAAGACACAGGCGGTAATCACAGGGATATTGCTGTATTAAGTGTTTGCATTGTGAAAGTCAGGTTGGCACTTTATGGCTATAAAAACCCTGGCCCCGCCCAAAAGGTAGCTTTATAGTACTTGTTTCTGTTCCCAACAGGTCTAAAACCAACAAACCATATGTGTATTTTAACATGTTCTTTATAGCTGCCTCTGAAACTTTCCAGGGAGAGAGGATCTTTTAAAAAGTGAATGGAGCGTGTCCGTGCAACAGGCAAGTATATTGATAGTAAAGAGAAATACTAGATCATCCGCTAACATTTTAAGATGATAGCTACTGGTTTAAATATAAAAAACCAGTCCATGGACCAACCCTTAGAGATAAATGTCACTGACCCACTTCAGCAATGTGGGCTTTTTTTCTGGCTGCTGAACTTTAGAAATTCTCAGAAGATAAATTTACAGTCTGCTCAGGGGGAAGATTGCAACCTCAAACAATTAAGTAAAACCTTAGCTATATACAATCATTTTAATTTCATCCTTTGATATTGTTCATATGATTAAGTTCTTTCCAAACAAACTTCACATAGAACTTGGCCTATGAGGAACAGACTAAGCCCACATGTATCCTGACAGGGGTGTTTACTCAAACGGAGTTATCCCAGCCATGCTGTGTGTACTTGGGGACGTAAAAGGGCCTGGGGGAAGGAACTCAGAGAACAATAAGGATAGAGGAACTTAGAAGAAATAACCTACTGGGAGAACAGGAATGCACTGGGAATAGAAGAATCAGTCAGACAAGAAGAAATCAGATATTGGGAAAATGCCCATGAAGAGGAAGCAAGAGATGCCCATGAAGACAGGTTTGGAGAGGAGCAGTGTGGAGCAAGGAGCAGTTTGAAGATGGAGGATAGGGGCTGCCCACAGAGCAGGGCAAGGTCGGAGAGAAGACAGTTCCAGGAGTGCAGCACCGGAGCAAAGGAAGGGGTGCAAGTCACAGGGGGTGAAGAGGAAGAAAGCAGACGACACTCGCATAAACTTTGACTAGGGAGGCTTCTCTTCAGCCAGCAGACCAGTACCTCTTGCTGCAGAAACATATTTCACTTCCTCATCTTCCTGGAGTGGAGCAGATGGAGAGATAGGCCTTGACTACTTAAGAAATCGTGGCTGAGTTCAAGATAGCCATGTCTTCCGCATCAGTGGAAATCCACCTGGCTGCCTGGTCTGGAGGAGAGCAGGACTGGCTTGGGGGTCCCTGCCCCTGGCCCGCGGTGAGCACTGTAGCCCTCTGTGGATGCAGCATAGATAACAAGCAGGCGCAGGTGTTGATACAGCCTTTTCTGCACTGATGGCCTGACTGCGACCCAGGTGCTGCTGGTTTTGACTTGCTACTCATTAACAGGGCTCAGGCAGTGTGGTTCCCTCCACAGGACCAATGAGGGTTGGCGATGGTGACATGCAGCCACCCAAGCTCTGTCAGAATCTGCTGCCTTTGGGCATGCTAGGATCTGTGACCCTCCCCATGGATGGACTATCCTAGAGTTATGGCATCCTGTTAGGTGGGGCCTAGGAGTGAAGCCCACTCTGCTGAGCTGATGCAAAGGATTTCTCTTCCCTTAGACAGGGCTCCCTGAGCCTGAGGGAAAGATTTCTCCCTGCCATTCTTAGTTGGTCCTTAGTTTGGCAGAGGAGTAGGGCAGGATGGGTACCCCCAGCCTGGGAAAGAACAACTTTTGGGGCCCCATACTACTCAAAACACTGTGGGGAGTGTGCCAAAAGTGACAAGAGCAGTGGGGTGGCAGATGAGGGGATACATATCCAAGTCACCATCAGGGAAAATCTCCCTTTCCAGAGGTGACCAGAGGCACTGGTGAGGGCTTGCAAAGATGACAAGGGAGGGGAGCCCATGGTTCAGTGCCACCATCCTGCTAGCTGCATAGCCGGTGCAGGTGCTGAGCGTGCAGCTCATGGGGTAGACGTGCCGAGCTGCCGAGAGTCACCCCGACGGGGAGTGGCTGGTCACCCCCACGGAGAGGTGAGGATCTCCCGGGAGGAGGGAACAGTCCCTCTCCTCAGCGCCTCTCCAATCGACCCCCTGGGCGTGACGTGTGCTCGGCAGCGGAGATGGAGTAGGGGAACGTTTTTGGGGTCCCCGCTTTTAAAGCTGCAGCTCCGTCAGGGACCCGCCGATGAGCCCCTGGCAGAGGGCGCCTCGCTGTTTGCTTCCAGAGCTGTCGGGAAAGAATCGTCTTCTGCAGGATAAAGTCCCTGTCTACGTGGGTGTATTGCCCGTGTCCAAAGTCTACAGGCAGGAGGCTGCCTGCTGCAATCCCCGAGAGAGGGATGACTTTTAAAATATATGGGCTGATTGCAAATAAGTTACTAATAAGCCGCTTTGGCATAAGAACGGCTCTATGCATTATTTCCTAAGATCTGTTTATTTGCAAATATTTCTTTCTTTTTTGTCTTTTTTTTTTAAATTGTTCGGGAAAAAAAAGTACAGAAGTTAATATTTAGACATTCATACTATTAAGTAATAGAGCTATAAACTCTCAAATAAGGCACTTTCATTTTACTTAACAATAGATAACACAACAGCGACAGTGAAACAGACCAAACAAAAGCGATCACCAAAATTGTTGTGACAGTACAATTACCCGGCTAGAAAATTTATTCAATATGCTTTACCATTGCATTGACACAGCAGGGAAAAAAAAGCCCAGATATTCAGAGAATAATACAACAAGGCAGGAGGTATTTGGAAAAAAAAAAAAGGATTTATTTTGAAATACACTTTTAAGAGATACTTTGCCTCCCCGATTTGTTATCGATGTGCATCTGACACGATACAAAACAAACAAACGAAGAAAAAAACCACGTTCTGTACAGAGCTCTAAAATGAGCCGCGATTATCTACAAGATGAGCTTTACGCTTGGGTGTGGGTTGGAGAGGGGCCCGATCCTGCAGTCCGCACTCTCGAAACGAGTTTCGCAGACATGTGGTAGGAAAGCTTGGCCCCGAGTCTGCGTGCGTGTCTCCGTGTGTATGTGTGTGTGTGCGCGTCTGTGAGTTCCTACAATACAGTCCTTGAGTAAAGTGGGCAAGTTGGAGCTGCCGGAGCGGGCGCGGGTCCCTGGCTGCTCTAGAAGTCCTGCCGCGGGGTGTGAGTTAGACTGTGCCGCCGTAGATCACAGTTTCGCCTGAACACTTTGCCGCACTGCTCACAGTTGTAGGGCTTGATGTCTGTATGGGTAAGAAGGTGAGTTTTCAGGTTACTTCTTTGATTAAAGGTTCTTCCACATGTGGGGCATTTGTGTGGAGATTCCTGTTCAGATTTGAAGCAAGCAAAGGATTAATCCTTCACAAACCACCTGGTTTAACGTATCACTGCACTTTTTCTCATCGCAACGCACAACTTGAGATATCGGGGGTGGACACGAACGAGAGCAATCCCGGGCGGGCGGGCGACCGCCCACCTCGCCCTGTCCTGCCCCAGAAGCCTTATTTTATACTTCTGGAGTCGTGACATTTCGCGCCCCTGTCGTGCACGAAAAGCGGCCACCTCGCCGCCCTCCTGCTCTGGTACTCCCGCTGCCCGCCCGACGGCCGCGGCGGTCCCTCTGCACCGCTCCGCACCGCATCCCGCCTCCGGGCTGTCCCGCCGCCCCGCGCCCGCCGCCGCCGTCAGGGCCAGGTTCAGCCCTCAACGAAAAACGCCTCGAAGCAGCGGCGTGGACAAACCCGAACCCGGGGTTCACTCCCCGCCGCCAACTGCGTCCCTGCTGGCTTTAAGCCCTTCTCCCGCGGCCGCTGTTTTTCCGCGGGTCTCCCGCGGCCGCGGAGGTAACCATCAGCCGCTGCCCTCCCCCAGGAAGCACAGGGCCGTCCAGCGCCGGAGCCCACTCTCTCCCCTCGCTCCCCTCCGCACCAGAGCCCCGTTCCCCCGGCGGCCACCGCCCCTGCCCCGCGGCGGGCCGAGCCGAGCCGGGCCGTGCCCCTGCCGGCGGCACACGCGTGGAGAGGCCGGGGAGAGCCGGGCTCACCTGCATGTGTAGGGTTTTGTGGACCGCCAGGGTCCTGGACTGGCAGAAGCCCTTCCCGCACTCCTGGCACTTGAAGGGTTTCTCTTTGGAATGGATGTACCTGTAAGGCAACCCGCGGGGTGAGCAGTGCTGCTGGGGGCGCGGGGATCACCCGTTCCCAGGCCCCGCTCCCCCCGACTCAACTCCCCTCAAAAGCCCTCACTCTGATCCTGTCTCCTTCTCCCTTTTATAATTCTGTTTATGATTAAGCTTCTTTAACGGTTCAAAACATTTGCAATAATTCGTATCGAAGTGTGAGTGCACTCTCTGGTGCCAAACCGGGACAGCATCTGTGCCGCCGGCCGGACCCGAGCCCGCTCTTCTCCGAAGGTGGAGAGGATTCTCTGCCCAGTGGCCTCAGGCGCCGCTCGGCACCGGCTGCAGAGTGCGCAGATGAGGGGGGGGGCGAGCGCGAAAGCGCCCACCTGCGCCCCGTCCTGCTCCCCGCGCCCCCCAGGGTCGCGCTTCAGAACCACAAAAGCCCCGGGGGCTTCCTCCCCGGGTGTGAACCCCCTCGTCTCTCCCTCAGGTGGGTGCCTGTCCCATGCAGGTTTAGAGAGAGAGCAGGTTTAGACTGTCGTGGTGCCTCCGCGGCCGCGGAGTTGGAGCGGGGATTCCTCCTGCTGCCTTCGTGGCTCAGCCCAGAGCTCCCGGAGCGGCTCAGCCTCATCGCCCCCGAGTGGATCACCCTACCCCGGCTCCCCTTGGCCCGACCCCGGTCGTGGTGGTCCCTCACCGGTGGTCCCGCAGGTGGTCCTGCCTCCGGAAAGCCTTGTGGCAGATGTCGCAGGTGTAAGGTCGCTCGTCCGTGTGGGTTCGCTCGTGGATGAGGAGGTTGTAGGACTTGGTGAAGTGCCTGCCGCAGAACTTGCAGATGAACTCCTTTTTCGTCTTGGAGGGCAAGCGGCCGCGGGAGGGCTTCCTATCCGGAGACAGCTTGCTGATGCTCGACAGAGGCGAGGCCAGTCCGGGGCTCAGCTTGGCGAGCTCCCCCACCTTCGGGGGGTCCTCCTGCGTGGCGGCCACGGCCAGGTTGGCAAAGTCAAAGCGGGGCCTGTCCTTGTGCAATGCTGGGAGGACGTGGGCGATGGCCCCTTGCTTGGGGTGGAAGAGGTGCGTGGCGAAAGGGAGCGCGGGGAAAGGGAAGCGGGAGTCCACCAAGCCCTGCGCGGCCGCCATCTCCGTGATGGTGGAACGGGTGATTTCATGCACATTGGGGTAGCCCAATGTCCAGTGGTTCATGTGCATGGTTTGCACGGCGCTGAGTCCGTACAGACCTTGCAACTGGTCCACAGCCGCGGGGAAGGTGTTCACAGCCTGGAGGAAGGAGTAGTTAGTGAGTTGTAGAGACGGGTGCAGCGGGATGGGGGCTGGCAGCGCCTTGCTTCCCATCTTCACGGGGCAGGCGTGGGCCGGCGGAGTAGCTGGTGCCTCTGCTGGGCTTCCGAGACGGGGAGAAAATCCTAAGAAGAAAGAGGGAGAAAGGAGGGGAAAGAGACTTTTACTGAGAACAGCGTGGTCCCCCCTTAGCCGAGGCGAGTGCAGCGACCGAGCCAGGGAGGGCCAGACACGGCTCCGGTGCGCTGCCGTGCCGCGGCCCTAATGCCCCGCCGCAGCCCAGGCTCCCGCCCTCCGCCGGGGCCGGCGGCCGATACTGACCCACGGCGCGACCGCTTCGACCGGAGAAGCTAAAGCGTAAAAAAAAAAAAAAAAAAAAATCCGTCTCAAAACACCCACCCCAAATTAAAATAGAGAAAACCCACTGCGGAGCCAACCGAAGGCGCCGCAGATTCAAATTAAACGAATGGTGGAAAAATACACGCGGAACGGAGACGGGGCCGGGGCCGAAGCCCTTCTGCTTCCCGTCTCCCCGCCGCCGACCCCCGCAGCGCCCACCGTGGGGATCCCGGAGCCACCTCCCTCCTGCCCCCCGCGCCGACCCGGCCCCCGGCGTCGCTCCCACCCTCCGCCCGGCCTCCCGCGGACGCAGAGGCCCCGACCCCGACCCCTCCTGGCTGGGGCCTCCCCGGGATGGAGCAGGGTGCTCGCGGAGGGCCGAGGCAGGCCCGTGAGGGAGCGGAGGGGGGGAGGGAGTAAGGGGAAATAAACCCTGCGTTCATCCCAGCTCGGTTGCTTATTTTTCTTCCTTCAACAACAACTAATTTATCAAGATAACCGAAGGAGAGAAAAAGAGCCCGGGCCTCGCACGCACACCTCCTACCCAGCCCCCCGCGCCGTAGCCATCCCATCGGCAGCGAGGAGGGTGGCCGGCCCGGAGGCCTCCCCGGTCCGCCGAGGGCCGCCCCGCACGGCGCTGCCCCGCACTCGGCTCCCTCCGTCCTGCAGGGCCAAGAATGACGAGCGCAGCCCCGGTGGGACGGAGCCGTGAGGACGAGCACCCCGCACCCCCTCGGCCATTCCCAGGCTGGGACCTCCGCCGGAGCGGCGGGGCCGTGAGCTAATGAGCGGTGTGTGACTGTCAGAGGGTTTCACTCAGCCCACTCAACCGAAACCGCCGGGCCCGCTGCTCCCGTCGCACGGGGGGTCCCCTCGGTGGCTCCGGGGAGATGGTCCCCTCCCGCAGGGCAGGGGGACATCAGTGCGGGGGGCAAGCCCCTGCCCTTTCCTTTTTTTTTGCTTTCGTTGAGGGTTCACTTCCAGCTGCCAAGAGGCTGCTGCGACCCAGGAAAGCGGCCAAAGCAAGCGCCGGGGTCTCTCCGGGCCTGTAAACAAGAGGTAGGGCCGAGGGTGCCCCAGCACCTCCTGGGATTTGTGTGGAAGGACTGGTAAGGCGCAGTTTCCAAAGTAAACAAGAGACCCTCCCCCAGCCAAAATCCTAAACCAAACCCCCCAAAACAACAACAAAAATAAAAGAAACTCTCCAAGCGTAGAGCCCGCGCTCCGGGAGAGGTGTCCCTGCCTCCCGGGCCGCCACCGCCCCGCAGCCCTCACCGCCGCTCCTGCTCGGACTACTCCGCTGGCACCGGGCACCCGCTGGCTGGAAAGATACTTTCGATTTTTTTCTTAAAATACCTTTCCTCCCCGCTTGTGGCACCGCACAATTGGCACACCGGGAAAAAAAAATTGCGGCAAGGAGGTCGGGCGTGAGCTGCAGCTCTGCACACCCCTGTTTTCGTTTTCCTCGAGTCGTGGCTCCCCACGGCTTCCTCTGGTGGTGCCCAGTTTTTCTCGTTTGTGTTTGTATCGACACTGGGGACAGTGTTATAGATACGACCTATTATATATGGCGACCTTTTTGTTTTGTTGGGGGGGTTGGTTATATATAGAGACTTATTTTTAAAGATGTCGTAGTGTGAGTTCCTATTCGCTTTCCGCCAGGAACCGACACAGAAGCAATAAAATCGCTTTTCGCTGGCTGCTCCCGTGGCTCCTGCTTCCATCCCTGCTGGCTGTGCCTGGGTTTCGGAGCTACAGGCTGAGAACTATGACAGAGGTAGGGACAGTGTTTCTGTAGGGCAGAGCTCCCTCTGCTACAGCTGCATTTGGTGGCCGTGTGTGGGGGTGTCATTGCATGACTCTTGTTTTCGTGTCAAACAACCAAATCTGAAAAAACTACTCTGAACACGAAATCCGCATTTTAAGGAAGAAATTTGTAAAACTGCGATGCCTTTTGAACTGCGCTACATCTGTTACTATTTGTATTCGGAGGTAACTTTACTAAAACCTATTTTAAAAAGTCCAGAAAGTGCCTTCCTACGTGATTTTAAGGCCATTTATAACAAGGTGCGTTGGGGCGCGCGGGCGGGGGGATAAAGTCAACCAAAAACGGATGTTATTTAAACTTTGGCACTTCCTTTTCCCTTTTCATTCAGAGCGCTTAATTAAATTAAGCCCGGTGCCTCGGCAGGACACTCCTCTCTACCTGCTTGCCGCCGACCTGCTGCCCACCCAGCGCTCCCCATCCTACCGCGGCGGGGCCGGGCCGGGCCGTGCCCCGAGGGCACTGCCGTCATTCCCGGGGAGCGGGTGGACCCTGGGTCGCCTCCGCTCCGCGCCGGCCCCACCAGAAGCCGCGGCCGCCGGTCCCGGCGCTGCCTGGTGTTTCCACGCACCGCGGATTTCTCCAGTGTCACCCGCGGATCAGCCCCGTAGTCCGCGCACGGACCGGCTTCTCCCCGTTAGGAATTTCTCGGGAAGGACATCGGCTGCGCGCCCCACGAGGCCCCCGCCTGGCCCCGCACCAACACGCCCGCGGCATGCGGAGGGCACCCGCAACCCAAATTACCGCGGAGCTGCGAATTGAAAGTAAGCCCAGCGGTCCGGCGGTCCCGCGCTCCCGGCGGAGGGGACGCTCCGCTCTCGGGGCGGTCGCCCCGCTCCCGCCGACAGCAGTGGGCAGGGCGGGCCAGGGGAGCCAGTCACCTACCGCAGCCTGCTGCTCCTCCCGGGGCAAAGCTGAGGCGGCGGCCGCGGCACCTTCACGGAGACATTAGATCCACAGCGAGGGCGCTCAGCGGGGCTAGGGCCCGGCGGCGGACGGCATGTTGCGGAGGGCTGGGCGGCTGGGAGCTCTGGCCGCGGCGGTCCCGGGGCCCCGGCAGAGACCGCCGCCACCCGCCCGCAGCCTCTCGCCTTCGACCCCGGCGAGGCTCGGCTCGAGTCTGAGCCGCCCCCTGCCCGGTCCATCACATTTCAGC